GGAGCTTGCAGTGAGCTGAGATGGCGCCACTGCACTCCAGCCTGGGAGACAAGGGCGAAACTCCATCTCAAAAAAAAATAATAATAAAATAAAATAAAAATAAAGAAAGAAAACAAAGAATTTGGTGTTTATTCCCCCACAGATTTCCTGTATATATGATATGCCTATTTCACATCAATAGAAACGTACTGTTCTGTGGTCTGCTTTACGTTTTTCCTAAATGTTATACAGTATAATCTTTTACATGACAAATACTAAAATTTTGCTTTATCTCTTTTAATGATGACACAGTCTATCATTAAACATATAAACTATAATTTATTTAATCAAAACTCCATTGATATAACTTGGGTTGTTTCTAATTGTTTTGCAATAACAAATAATATTGTGACGAAGCTCCTTACAGGGGTATTTTTCAAAATTTATGTAATTATTTTCCCAGGATTAATTCCCACAAGTAACTTTATCAGATTAAAGGAAATGCAAACAAATGTAAATTTTAAGATACACATGCACAAACATATACACATCTTAATTTCTAAAACTTTTGGGCCAATTTATAGATTTGCTATGTTATGATAGTGTTTGTTTACCCACATCCCTGCCATCAACGGTTGTTATTAAAATTTTTTTCTCGATTTTTATAACCTGAAGGTTGAGAAATTGCAGTATTTTAATTTGAATTTTTAATTTCTTTTTTCATTACTTTTATTTATTTAAGTAGGTGCCATTTATTGAGTACTTACTAGGTGCTAGTAAGTGCTCTATCCACATTACATAAGACAATTCATTTAATCCTTAAAGTCATTCTTTGAGCTATCATCCCTATTTTACAGACAAATTGAGGGATAAAAATGAATCCATATTCTCATTTTATATCAACCAAATATTTCAATAATTGCTCATCAGAGCTGATTAACAGATGATAATCAACATGTTCAATATTTGGTATTTCATTTACCTTACAGGGCATTCTTTTTTTTTTTAACTTTTATTTTACGCTCAGGAGTACATGTGCAGGTTTGTTATGTAGGTAAATTTGTATCACGGGGGTTTGCTGTACAGATTACTTCGTCACTCAGGTATTAAGCCTAGTACCCATTAGTTATTTTTCCTGATCCTCCCCCCGTCCCAACCTTCACCATC